TAAAATTAGGCACTTGTATATTAATCCAAAGTTAGTTTTAATTAGAGTTTTAGTTAGTATTTTTTTATTTTCTTACGTTCAGACCACAAGTGGTTGGTCTCTGTATTCCGAAGTTCCGGAAATCTCTGTAAAGATAGAAAAATAAAAGGTTTCGTATACCCTTCCTGTGTGTATTGTCTACTTCAAAATTTATTGAACATAGCTTGAGTAAGCTCCCTGTTCCGAGTCAGGACAGTTCATGTTTCCAAAGCAAGTAAAGAGGAATACAAGTCCTGATAACTTGTCTCTAGGATCATAATATTCAATTTCTAGAGCTTTTAGTTAAAAAAATTATAAAAATAATATCGCACGCGTCAAAGGGTTAACAGTCATAGCTACATCTCTGAAGTTGTGAAGCCTGTTGTCCTCCCTTTAGTTCAAGATTTGCCTGCAGCCGAATTTCAAGAAGGCAAAGCACAACTGTAAGAAATATGCAATTTTCATTGTTCACCAGATCCCACTGCTGTCATGGTCCACACATTCTTCCAATATGGCCAGCCAATGAACAAGCATACTTTATGACTGGCGAACAAGTGATCCCACATATATTACCTGGAACTATATCAGAACTACAGCAATATGTGAAAATAGCATATTGACATTATTACCTGTCATGGCTGCTACACACCGATTTCTTTGTCTTGTGAAATAGATATTGGGCTAAAATTTTTAATTAATTCACTTTTGTACCTTATGCTGTTATTCAGAAAATATGGTTTGGATATCTCTATTTCTTTATGGTGTTGCGTTCTGGATGCCAATAGCATACATCCGTCTGCAGTTATATGTATACAAATATTATAATTTAAGGTACTTTAAAAACATTATAATAAAAGTATTATTTTATTCCAGCTGTAACCCTAATAATATTAAGGTGTCAATGCTGGATGATTATTTAAGCACAATCAATAATAGTTAACTTTTCTTAAATAAAACTTGACAAACACCTTAAAATTTATCACTTTATTATTTTTATTTTATTTCCATAACTATTATTCTGCTTGCTTTAATTAGACCATGCTCTCTTTTCCAAACAGACTTTTTTCTTTTATTTCTCAACATAGGTACAGGTATGAAAGACACCAGTGATGTATCATGGGTCAACTGGTAACGCCTTCCCATACTAACTACCCTCCCCCCCCCAAAAAAAATCTGCAAGCTTCATAAGATTTTGCAAAGAAAAGTGGAGGAGATGAGCAACTAAAGCTTTCCAAAGCATCTAGAGTTTACTTATTATGGTGCATCTTGCAGTCCCACAGTATACTCAGCATCCAATATTTATTAAAAATAATGATGTAGGACATAAATTACAATTTAGTTTCAACACAATTTGAAATTTACATATTAAAGTGAACATAGTTTTGATGTAACAAAAATAACAGATAAACTCTTTTGAACATATTCACAGGAAGTAAAAGTTCATTAAATTTATGCAGCATGAGGAATATATACTTGACAAAGATCTACGCCATAGGAAGAGAATCATTGCATAATTTTTTGAAACTTTGGGTGCTGATGTTTATGTTTAATTAGAAATTTTTGGATGCCAAAAGATCGAGTTTATGTTTAATTAGAAATGGAATGCCAAAAGATCAGTTTGTGGGATTTCTATGATTAACCTCAGTTAAGGGGCATGACCCCACATACACATTTCTTGCATAGAAATAGGTGGAGAAGAGTCTGTGTCCTGTTATTTTGAAGCAAGTTGTTTTAGTTGGTATTTGAAATTTGAACACCATGGAATGGTGATTTTAATACCACCTTGATTAAGAGCTAGAGCTTCTTCTTTGGCTAGTTCATCTGCCTGTTTATTACCAAAAGGCCACTATGCCCTTTGATCCATGAAATTTAAATTTTGTAGCTTGGAATTAAAGCAAAAAGAGAATTTATGTCGGAAGCCAATGGACAGAAAAATAAGGGATTCTTAATCATTAAAACAGCTGCCTGGGAGTCAGATTTTATGGTGAATTCATTGAGATTTTCAAGAACGGCCATATCAATCACTGCTTTTATTGCTGACAAGCCAGCCTGGAAAAAAACTATTATGGAGATGACCTTTTTATTTGATAATATTTGAAGGGTCAATTTTAAAATAGACTGCTGAATCAATTTTTTCTTCACTGTTTGATCCATTAGTATATACAATTAGAGATGAACTACTTGAATTTCAATCAGACATATGTAATTTTACTTTGTTGAAGTGAAGAGCTTGATGAATAAGATCAGAATTATTTTTCTTTTCATAGTTGGATGACAGAAAGGTTTGACTGTTGAATTATTCTGCAGCTTGGTTAAGTTGTAGGACTTTCATGTAGATGCTTTCCATTTCTGCACTGATTGATAGTAGAAGAGTACCAGCTAAAGTATCAAGAGCTAGATTTGCAGTTATGCAATACATTTAAGTAATGCAAAGAGTAAAAGGTCTTTGAACTGAATTCAAACATTTAATCTTTCTCACTACCATTGGTTACCCAAATTTACCATTTTTGGTATAACTGTTTTTAAAAGAATCCCTGTTTAAGCCTCAGTTCTATCATGCATGCTTCATACACAGTTAGCTACTGATGCTGTTTGAAGTTTAATATTTTGTAGATGAGGAATTCAGCAGAATTTCTTGTCAATTGTTAACCCAAGGTACTCACAAAGTTATATGACAGATTTGATCTTTCGATTATTAGTTATTAAAGCTAATTCTTTAGTTTTGTTTTGCCCTGGCTCATGGATTACTAAAACTTGAGATACTTGCAGTTTTTGAATTTTGCAAAGTTGGTTAAATAGTTGAAATGTTTCATTACAATTAGCCTGCAAAATGCCTCCAGTATATCCAATTGTAATAAAAGCAATACTGTCTGCAAAAATGACAATTTGTTAGTGGTTTGCTGGCAATCATTCTGTTGAAACGGATATTCCAGAGATCTGCACTCATGCAAATCCCCTGGAGATATCCTCTGAATTGATCACACATAACGTCACAGTTGTAAAGAATCATACATTTTCTGTTTCTGAAGTATAATTAGGAATAAATTTTGAAGGCACTTAAAGTAGTGCAGAGATTTTAAAAACTGTTGGCTACCACAAAGAATCAAAAGCTGCTTTTAAGTCAAGACATATTACTGCAGAATGAAGTAAGTTGATTTCGTTGTTTTTTGACTTGTTGAAGAGCGGAATTAATTGCATGACTTGTTGAAATTACACTTTAAAACCCAAACTGATTATTACTTATTAAGTTCTTGTTGTAAACATGAAATTTTAGGCAGCCAGTCAGACATTTTGCCAAAATTTTTCCTAAGGCTGGGAGAAGATTTATCAGATGACAAGATTTATTTTGATCAGAGCTTTTATTCTTCTTATTGAAGAATATGATATTGCCAATTTTCAGGCAAATAGGAAAACTCGAGAGTTCTATACAATGATTGAGAGCACTACAGATTATGTCAGGATGACCTTGACTGATTAATTTTATAATGTGATTATCGATGCCTTTTGAGCCTGGTGCTTTTTGAAAGCTAGTTTTTAATTATTAGCTTGATTCTTTGTTTAGAGGTTGGAATATCTTTGTCTGTTTGCAGAATGTCACTGCAATTACAGATTATACAATTTGCTCCAGAATTTTTTATACATCTATAATCTTAGGTTACGAAAAGTTATTTTGAATATAGCAAAGCCATGACAGATTTTTGCCTAAGAGAAGGGATGCCTTCATGGAGAATATTTTAATTGAAATTGACTCATATTCACATTACACATGGGAAAAAACCATGAAAATCAAACATGCAACCAACCTGTTCACTTGGAATCAGACCTAAGTCAGGCCGAACTACCAGTATTCAGGGTCTTAATCACTTGGCCACTGTTTGAGCCTCTATAATCTTAGCAACAGTGATAAAATTAATATTAAGGATTCCAGTATATGGCATTTAAAATAAATCAAACATAAGTGTTTTTGCATTTTAAACTTCTTTCTATAGTTTTTAATTCAGTGACAACCAATGTTTCATCGAGAAATGTATATTTGTTTCTTGTTTTAAAAATTACATATCATTTCAACTATGAAATTATCTGCTCCGTAGTAGACTTGATTGGTTGACTGACAGGCAGAGCACATGATGACTATTAGCCTAAGAGAAGGGATGCTTTCATAGAGGAATTTTTAAGGGAAACAGGCTGGCATTCATCTTACACATAAGAAAAATACATATTTACCAAGATTTAAACCTAAGTCAGACTAAACTGTGTTCAGTAGTCTTATACATTCAACCACTGCTGAACATGCTCTATAATACAAAATGTATTAATTTGCATCTGAATTGCATTTATAATTGAAAAAGAAGCAACAGCCCACAGTTTTTTACTTGGATCTTAATCATTTTACTAACTATTATTTATTTTTACCTAAAAATATTTTATTATCTTTTTTTAGCCTTTATGCATGCTTTATTACATTGAATTTTTAAAGATTGATCACTTATTGATTTATAATACTGCTAGAAATATTTTTAGTTAAATTCTTTGAGAGAGAAGAAGAAATAATAATAAATTGTATAATTCAGTAATAATTAAAACTTTGCAAAGCAAGTTAAAGTTACTTTTGGTTTAGGGTGAGAATAAGAATTAAAAAATAGCCATGTTATCTTAATTTATTTCATTGAATTGATTTATATGATAAAAACACTTTCTATTCACAAATGAATTAATCATTTGAAGCTGTTATTTGGATTTTAAAACTAAAATCTAGATCTAGTTTTACAAAAACAGATAAAAATCAGTTTTTTTTTTTTTTTTTTTTTTTTTTTTTTTTTTTTTTCCCTAAATTTAAACACATGTAAAAATAAAACAGAGTTTTCTTGCAAATTTGTAGAATGAATATTAATTGTAAATACATTTTATTTAAATTAGCCCACTGCTTTTTTTTTTTTTTTTTTTCTTTTTTTTTTTCTTATTAGAATGAAATGAAAACCTACCCTGGCTGTCCTGTATTCAGTCCTTCCAACATCACACAAGCTTTGCAAATTACTTGGCTGGATATGGAACCACAACTACGACAAATGCCTAATACAGATATGGAGTATTAGCAAAATATTTTTATTTGTGTTTCAGTACAATTAACTGCTTTAACACATTCGCTGCCACTGACGCGCTGGCGCGTCAGCATGGCGCTACCTCCCATGCCGGTGACGCTCTGGGGCGACAATCGAGTATGATAAGTAAACTGCTTTAGTTTTAGTTCGGATTTGGAGGTTGAATGATGAGGTTTTTGTGGCACGTTAGTGAAGCATTATTTTTATATTTTCAGTGCGTGGTTTTTAAATTTTGTGTTTAATTTTTTTTTTTTTTTTTTTTTTTTTTTTTTTTTTTTTTGTGCATTTTTAAAAATGGCGGACAGTACAAGTATTGCAGGACCTTCACAGCCTAAGAAAAGGAAAGTAAGTAAAAAACTGACTGATGCCGAAATATTAGAATTACTAGAAAAGAGTGATCTTTCTGATTATGACAACGTAGACGATGAAGATTACGGGAAAAAAATATCACTTTACGAGTACCGACTGAACGTTGTAAAATCACTTTTGCCATCAACAGACGAACAAAAGCCGACTCCCAAGAATCTCAGACATACTCTTCAGAAAAGAGAACTTGCACCTGGTAAAACCAAAATACAAAGAAAAAGGTGTACATCTTGTTCCTCTCAAGGCAGACGCACGGACACTACGTATGAGTGCCGTGACTGTCCCGACAAGCCAGGATATTGCTTGAATTGCTGTGAAATATACCATAAGTGATAATATATTTATGCAGTACTGTTCTACACTGACATTTTGTTTGCAATAAGTTTAATTTTTTTTTCATTTTCTATTATGTTATTTATGTATATTATACAATATTTGTTACATTTTATAATCTTACATTTACATTTATACATATTTATGTTTTACTGTTACATTTTATAATTTTTCATAAATATTCACTTCTCTTTATCCAATTAAACATTTTATTTCTTTTAAACTGTGACTTTATATAATGTGTCAATAATTTCGCAGAAAAATGATGAGACGCGCCAGAGCGTCAGTAGCATACAGATAATAAGTTGAACGTGAGGTGCCACTGACGCTCTAGAGCGTCCGAAATTTTTTTACACTAAACACGAAAATAAAAGGTTTTTCTTTTTTTCTAGCTTTACTATTAAAATATTAGGAACGTTTTTAATCATTAAAACAATTTTTTAAATTCGGCTTCTGAGGATGGATATATAAATTTTGGTGGCAGCGAATGTGTTAATAATATTTGAGAGAAAAAAATAAAACATTATAACTAATGACAGCAAAAGCAAAATTTAACCTTATTTTTTGCACAGGTTCCATAATAAAAGTTTCAGTGGATTTTATGATACAGCTATACTTGAATCAGGTTCCAATTTAGTCCAGAACTAAGGTTGAATTTTGTCCCAATTCACATTTATGTAAACGTAAAAAGGATGAAACCATAACAGATTATCTCAATAAATGATTAAATGTTTCTTTAGAAATAAATGCCAAACGAATGTATATTTTTATATAATTTAAACATGAAGGTAGCATGCTTCTTTTTTTCTACTTTAAACACTCATTTAGGATCTTACTGTTAATTTTGACATTCATTTATACTCACCCTGAACAGGAAGCCTGATTTCTTCATTCAGCCTCATGCATTCACCAGAATGTATTATATCTAGCATAAAGGATGAAAAAGTTAATTAAATGAAAATAACCGAAAAATATTTATATTACTTGAAACTGTTGAAACTATTTGTATTTCCTTAAAAATACTATAATACAATCATTATAATGAAGAGTAAAAGATGAAAAGGGTAATAAGAGAAAAATATTTATACTACTTTGAAACTGATGAAACTATCTCCCCCTTTACAAATATAATACAACCATTATAACAAAGCATATGGGCAAAGAACATTACTCATTATAGTTTTAATGACAGTGACTTACAAATAATGGCATTAAAACCTACAGCAAGAAAAGCCAATAATGCTTTCATGATTGATTAATAAACATTGAGCTTACATTTTATTTTGCATATATTAATAGGATTAAGATGGAAAACAAAAGAATATTTTTATTCCATTCTTCTTATTCACATTAAAATAACTCACCATTCAGCATATTAGCAGTATGTTTTAGAAAATTTAATTTTGTACATTTAATTAATTTAAAGTCCCTTGGTCACTTAAAAATTACATTTATACCAAAAAGTTATAGTTTACACTAGCGGGGGAAAAAAAAAAAAAAACTGTACATACAAAGCAGTGATGTCAAGACATTAATATCTTCAAAACTAAAAACAAATACACTAAATCAAAAGTTTCATTATTTCAATATTAAAAAATAGAGTCTATTCAAAGAGGTTATTTTATTCACCACTACATTATATTTATAATAATGAATAACCATATTTAACAAAACATAATTTAAATTATAAATTGATACCAATATGAAATTACAGACCTTAAAGGTGTCTTAAAATGTGGGGTTCTTAAAACAGGGGGGTTACATAGTATTATAAATGTAAAGGCAAAAGTTTGACTATCCATAAAGCTTAGGAAAAGCTCAATGTGAAAATTCATAAAAATTGCAGATAGGTCAGTGTATAAAAAATGCAATTCAAGTCAAATAAAGGTAAGCAATTTCCTGTCTAAAATTATAAAAACACTTATTATACTGTTAGCTAATTGAACCCTAAATTTAATAATATTGCTGCATTTTTCTTTTCTGACACCAGTTGTTACGTTATTTTCTTCCTTCACATTCGTATAGGGTTCGTGTGGATCTGGAGTGAATAACGACAACACTTGATGAAGTACCAAAACACACTTTATTGGCCGGTATTATTCAGGACAATTCCAAAATCTCGTTCACAGTCGTCAAACTGTTATAAACACGCTGACACGATCAGCGACACAGCTTTCAGGTTATCAAGCTATCACAGAGAAGACAGCTTCACTGGAAAGCACCAGAGTACAGCTCCCGACTCTGCTTGGTCATTCTCGGAACTCCACGTACTCTCGAGACTCTCCACGCCACAACTCACGATGCGCTCGACGACACCAGAGCACACATTCTGACTCTTCGATTCAGTCATTTGCAGAGCTCAACACGCTCTCTCGACAATGCACTAACCGCAATACACTAAGAGACTCCTTCGGTGCACTCGCTGCCCAGCTGTCAACTCGACCAACTCCGCAGAGATTGACTCGATACTAACTAACTCTCTGCATACGAGAACATTCTGGGCTAAACCGGTAAGAATTCGTTCCAGAAGGTTCTCCATCAGTCCATGGCATATCACCAATTTTGTCGCCAAATGTCACCAAATGAGCAATTTTATGGCAACCCTAACACTGCTTTGCAGGAAAGCCATCTCACTGCGCCTTGACATTTCGTAACAATATTATGTAAGATTTTCAAAAAAATGTATTTGGGTATAAAAGCTAATGAAATTTTCTAGGCATATGAAAAGCCATTGGCCATTGAAACTGGTGGAGATAACAACAAATTTGTGCTAATTATTCTGGAAGAAGTTTGAAAGAATAGATGACTCTTATTTATATAATAAAGAGATTCAAGTTATAGACATGACATCTAAAAAACATAAAATTGCTTATCATAATTTTTTATGCTGTATTACTAATGTTTAACTATTTTCACATAAAATTGCAAATCTTGCCTATTAACACATAATTCTCTTAATGCTAAGATTTGTGTAATTTCAAAAATACTCTACTGCATGATGTTCGGTTGAAGGCAAGTTCAAATTTTAATCACTTTTCTAAAATGCAAGAGAAGAACAGATAAATAACAGTTAACTTATGTCCTTCTTTACAAAATCTAAACAGATTTATCGAGAATTAATAGGGTTTATATAAAACCAAGATGAATATCTTGTGATTGTGTTTCATGCTTATAAATTATTTGCTCTAAATTCAAATATTCTAAGTTTTTGTTTATTGATAATGACTGACATTAATTATACTGATTAGAGCAGTTTTCATGACAGACAGACAACATCAGTTGTGAGCTTTAAAATCTCTCATTTGTATCCATATCACACTAACTCTGCATTTCTCTTTCTATGATTGCCCAATTACAAGGCCAAATTCTTGGAATAATATGATGATTATAGCATTGGGAAGCAGAAGGAGTTGTAAAAAACATATGAGAAAGACAGCTGTGTAATTGCACTCACATTTGAGATGTTATATGCAGAATTCTAAGTTGTAGACCTATACATAATTTATAGTAGCTTTAAAAATTTTTCATTTGCTTAATTTTTCATAAAAGAAAAAAGAAAGTTTTAAAATTTTTAAGATATTCTGGTTATAGAACTTTTCAGTTAGTTAAATGCTTGATAGTCAAGCTTTTACTACATTAATGATCAGTTACTCATAAAAATTCAAACAGCACAAACTTTGAAAATGACAAGGATGAAAATGCAGCCTTGTTTATTTGCATTAAAGCTTTGAAAAATAAGTTAAAATAAAATAAGTTTTCCATAGGATTAAAACAATACATGACCTCATATGAATTAAACATTTGCATTGGAGTTGCATGAAGAATATGCTTGCCACTACTGGCATACAAAATTGCTAACAATAAATATTCTTTTAAGAATTTTAGTACCACTTTGGGCAAGAACACGCTCTTAATTTAAAGGAAATTTTTATTTTCTTGAACATCATACCTTAGAACCGATACTATAAAAAATGTCAATAATTTACAAATAACTTTTCGCTAAGATTTACTTAAAGTCATTCTCTACAATCTTCACCTGCAGTTAATAAAATGCACAATATTATGATAAATATTAGTTCCATGTGGAAAGGCACAAACCACTGGTTAAGCGAATAAGACCAATGAACACTGACAGTTTCACCCTGGTTTGAACCATACAAACAGGCCAATTTCATGGTTTTCCCATATGTAATGTAGAATATAAGCTAATTTCTATTAAAAAGTCTTCCACCATTATTCTTTGGCAGATGCCTCCATAGACTGTTTTTTAATGAATGATTTAGAAAGTATAAACTAACTATCAATTCAAGAAAATACTAATTGTAAAAATATACTGTTTTTCAATACAATATTTGGTTCATAGGTTAAACCAAATATTTTATTGAAAAGATGAAAATAATTATGAAGTAAAATAAATTTATAAAATTTAAATTGGTAGACATTTTACAGCAGAATATAAAGCTTTCAGTCATATATACATAACAGAATGGCAAAGGGAAAACTAAAGCCAAATGAACTAAATAAGATTATAATTCAATTCACTGTCATCTTAAATCACTAATTACATAAATATAATTTCTTTCAGAAAAATGAGTTATTTACACAAGACAGCAACTGTCACTGAACTCATACAACAGACATGCCTAGAATGTCAGTGACGAAGTGTTTCACAGCATGATTCTACATACTTAATATTGCATAGATGCAGCTTATAACTATTTTCTGCCCTTGAGGTAATAAATAATTGCTTTCTCCAGTCCTATATAAAAAATAATGGCATAACTAGATGTTTCAAAGAAGTTTATGTGATACAGGCGCAAGTGAAATGAAGGGAACATATGACTGGAAAAGAATATTTTTTCTACTAACAAAAAGTTATTACTGTTTACAAATTTATGATAGTACAGTACAAAGTCCAAAATCTGGACATCCAATATCTGGAATGATCTAATATCCAGACTTCAAAACCACCAACACCATTTTTCTCATAGGCTTTATGCATGCATATTTGATTCCCTCCTCTGCACATAATAAAACACTGGAGAATCCCGATTCTTAATTTCACTTTGACACTAAATAAAATACCTTGTTATTGAAGAAACAATCATTTTAGCATTAATTTGTACGATCAGTAATTTGGCTCCATTGCTGCATATCTGCTCGGCACACATCTCAAACCGAAACAGTCTACATAGATACATCGTTGATCTGACACTAACTTGGCGAATCATTATTTATTATACTTTCCTTTCATCACCGCATGTTTATCAACATATGACAACTTAAGTACAGGGTTCGTACACATTTCTGCACACAGAAATTAAGGACTTTTAAGGACCATTAATGAAAAAATTAAGGACCTATGAGCAAATGGGAACTGAATAAATTCAATTAAAAATACTATTCTATGCCCGAATTTCACTTTTGTAATACCATCCTAAAAAAAAATAGATCCCTGAGTAGTATGCATTATTACTAAACATGAATTAATTAACATAATGATTAATAAGTTTGAGAATAAAATAAACTTTATACAATTTATCAAGGTGGATTAAATATTTTACTCTTATAAATAGTTGGACATATTTGAAAGAAGATGTCATTTACTTACGTTTTACTAATAGTTAGCTTCATGTTGATTTTTTTATGTCTCATTTTGTTACATACTTAGTCAGTCTAGAGGTTCAGTAAATAGCAGGTAGATTTTATGTCAAATGGTATAGGTTAAAATGAGAAGTAAGATCAAAATCAGCATGGTTCATAACAAAAGACTGAATGTTGTCACTGCTGTTGCTTGTCTAGAGAGAGACCTGCTCATTAGAACAAACCTGAAAGGTCTGATGTAGACACAGTTGGCAAGTGTTGAAACTTAGTCAGGCTCTGTTTGATTGCAGTTAGTGTCATAGCTTTGTGTAGAGTTCCAAG